TGTATGATTGAAATGAGAAGTTGTGATAGGACGGCAGTGGGATAAGAGGGTAAAGAGTAGATAGATAGACCGTTTCCAGCATAACGGTTGTCGAGGGATTGACTTCACTTGTCTCTTTGACGAGTTCGTATCTTGGTGCGGAGAATGGCAAGTGCCGACTACGATGCCGGCGAAACGTTTGAGAATGTATCAAGTCCACTGTCAGATGCTGGGAATCAAGACGATGATGCCGACTACGAGGCCGGCGAAACGTCTGAGAATGTATCAAGTCCACGGTCAGATGCTATGAAAACTACTATGGCAGACGACTTCGGACTCGATGCGTTCTACATAATTTCCCTGAACACAAGACCAAGTTGCGACAACGAGGTCAACCCACTTCTATTTAGCAGATATTTGGACAAAGGGCCGACTTTCCTTGTCTCTTTAACGAGTTGTGGTGTGGTGCAAACTGGCAAGGCTCACTGACAATGCCGACGAAGCGTCTGGAAATGTACCAATTACAGATCAAATGAACAAAACAATAGTAAGTCAATCATGCCATCTGACCTTGTTCAATTGCTGCAAGCATCATGACATCGCTCCCGAGAAAGCGTCATTCTGAAGCAGGCCTTCCTTCAGAAAGTAGAGGAAAGTTACGAAACATAGGCGTAAGCTATTTAATCGAAGACCAAAATGGTGTGGTAAGTCTTCTTTCGTTTTATAAAAGCCGTTTGACAATGTTTTCGATACTTGGTCGTATTGGTAGGAAGACCTAGAGGAACACATCCGGAGTCCATAGCGTGCATGACAATTTCCAGTAGGACTGTGAACGTGGTACATTTCCAGGCGTTTCGCCTCAAGCGTAGTCGGCATCGTCATTGAGTCTTGCCATTCTTAGCACAAAACACAACTCGTCAAAGAGACAACTGAAACCGATCCTTTGACCAAATGTCTGCTGAACAATTGTGGTATCTCTTCTTCTGCCCTGGGGTATTCACTAATCCTCTATTCTCGTATCGACCCTTCGCCATCACAATTTTTGATTGCTTATTTAACTGTGTTGTTGCGTTATTGTGTTATGTCATGAGAACTCTCACCCCAAGCTGCCTTTCTCACCCACATTCACTCTTGTGTTGGGAATGTTGATCAGAGTCCGTTATATTATTCCACAATCCTCTTCCCATAGTTCTTATCAGTCTCCCTCTTACCCTGTAGGATCCGCCTTCTCCCTTCCTGATTGATGTATTTCATTCGACCTCTGCCACCATATATGTACTAATCGAGGCCTTATTTCCTACACAGTCTTAAATATTTGATGACACGCATACTCCCGCCTAGTTGAGTAGGATCCTAAAAATCAGGGTTCTTAATCTGAATGAGAGACTAGCTTGAGGCTTAAGGTACCGAGTAATTTTCATAGTCAAACCTTTGCTTCGTGGACTACGTCTATGATCAGACACGTCTTCTTTTCCTAGTAGCTCAAGTCTCCGCCGCATCTATCGTGCGTCCTAACTACTCAGTCTAAGGTCATTAAGTTTTAACAATCCAGGGAAAGGCATGACTTGGGCTGAGGAATTTTGTACATCTGATGAACTTAATCTAACATTTTGAACGAGTCTGAGCGAAATTATAACCATCCCTAAGCGGACCAGTTGAATCTCTTTCTTTAGGATGGCGGCTTAACATCATCTCCCTCGATCTATTAATCAAGCATAAGTAGTTATTAGTCAACTTACTACCAGCGTTCCTCACACTCAACGTATCCCCTAAACTATTTATTTAAATAGCCTCTCTAAACTTTTTTTTGACAGCAAACCCCTAGCAAGCCTAAGAGCATACATTGGCTCCCTATAATTATAGCCTCCCAATTTACCCTCTTATCTAATTATCATGACATCCAAAAAGTGAGGCTTTTAAAATTAATAGATTAGAAAATACAGTGAGCTGCTACAAGATCGTGTGTTCCTGTATTCTGCCTTATGATTGTGATACATGCTGGTGTATTTGACAAATATTGAGTAACTGTCATAATTGGCCTAACAAATTGCATAGACCAGGTATGAGATAGAATTTTCTCAAACGTGTAGGCTTGCTGATTTTGGTGCGTCTTTTGTTAAAACGAATCCTAGAGAGACCATTGTAATTAATAGATTAGGTAATACATTGAATGTGGGGAACGGTGGTAGTAAGGTGAGTAAGAACCACTTATGCACGATTGATAGATTGAAGAGGAGAGAGTGTGATGAGCCGCAATTAAAAAGAATCATGTTTTCGCAAGATGATCCTGCATGCCTGCCAAATCTTAGATTGCAATTCAATATATCATAATTCACTGCAAAGTCGAAATTAGTTTATTTAGTGGAAAATATGCAATATAGGTCTGGGATAACAGAAAAATTATCATGTGCCGCCCACATGCCTTTGTACACAGCCTGTACGCCCAATGCATAATGA